TTGACTATCGGGTACTGGCGACACACACGCACCGATGGGCGTGCGGACGCTGCCAGCGTACCCGCTGGAACTGCCGGGCGTGCTGTGCGCACGCTGTGTGCGGACAGGCATCACGGTCGGCATTTTTCCGGTAACCCACATATGATCATAAAATGACTTGACTTGATTAAAGATGCATAGATTGTTCGGGACTTGCCGGTTAGATTTTGAAATCACTCGGAGAGGGCTTATATAGCATCTCCGAGGCCATTTCGCACAAAACTTAAACCGAACGACATGATTTTGATATGGTCTTCCTAACATGAACTTAAGTACATGAAAAGAGGGTAATTAGAAGTATACCCTTCAGTTCGGTCGAGGAATGCACGGTGACTTGCGTGCGTGTTCGGTGCTCGGTTAGGTGTGCTCTTGCTTCTCCTTTGCTTCGGCTAACCTTAGCTATTTTTCTATGATTTTTTCTCTATTTTTCCTTACTATTTTCCCTCAGTTTGCATGCTGAAGTTGCCTCGGTTTTTGCATGAAATGCATGGGGAAAATGTTACACGCCCGGTTATTTAAAGGAAGGTAAATTCGTTGGGTAAACTTGGGTCAAAGAGGTGAAGGATGACGATTTTTCCCTTGATGCCACATGTCCTAGCCGTGGATCGAGGTGGCGTGTCCTCGGCTTAGTCATCGCTCGAGGTGGCGTGCATGCACGGGCTTAGTCACCACCCGTGGCCTCGTGTGGTGCCATGTGTGCTAAGCAAGTAGGTGACTCACCACTACAACTTGCACCAACATTCATCCTTGGTGAAAATTCTCCACGGCAATTAGAAGGGTTAAGACTTTGGTTGGTTAGACTTGATCACATTGCTTAGGGAAGCATAAGCGTGCACTTAATGAGGCTTAGCCGTGCGCTTGCACGGTAACGTGCGCTATGCACGGTTGCGCACGCGCACGCGTGCACCACTATACATAGCGTGCATGCGTGCATGAATGATGTGCACGTACAATACTTAGACGTGAATTCGACTTCAAAATTAAATCCGAACATTCTTAACTTGAATAATTAATCCCGATTAATAATGTCCGTTTATAAAATAAACGATTCGAAAATTAATTGTCGAATTTGACTCGGTTAATAATTAACTGAATAGACTTTTTGACTTAAAGTCGAACTTATTAACTTAAACGCTGAAAATAAGCGAGATTTGTAAAAGAAAATACATCACTTTATTAACAAGAAGTTGGGTTATTACACATGGCAATTGGAAGCGTAGTATATGCAATAAATGAGACCTGATATTTATTACTGAGAGTTTAGTTGGTAAATATCGAAGTAATCATTGATGGAAGCAATGGTTCATGGTAGAACATATGATAGAGCGCCATAAAAGGGCTAAGGAAAATATGTAAGGTTACCAAATGAACCATAAGCAACCTATGGATTACAAAGGATTCTGATTTCTAATCAGACATGAACAACAAGTAAAAACCACCTTATGGTTTGTGTTCACTTGTGGGAACCAAGAAGATTAGAGGAATGTCAAGCGGTAATACGTTGACGGATTCCACTATGAACTCAGTACGTCCGTTTCCAAATGGCGAGCGACGTAGAGATTGGATTCGCCATTGAACTAAAAATGTGAAACCTCGTCTGGCCAAGTCAGGTCACAATTTGATTGTGATGACAGCTGGTGCAGTTACATACAGAGAAGAATCACTAGTTCATAAAGCAAGTGGCACATAGAGCAAGTACGCCCGTTGCAAAAGACTGCGACAGGGTGGATGTTTGTCGCCTAGTTACATCGGTAGACAACCAGGTAAATCTTCTTATGATTGGCTGGGCGTTAGCGGATGATGGCCATGTTAAAGGATTGGGAGTCAGATGTATGGCAGAAAGGACAACAGTTCTTTGAGAATTAAGATTGAAAGAGAATTGTGGTTAGAAATAGCCATGAGCTTATTAAGCATAAATGGGAGATTGTTAGAGGTATGCTGTAAAAGCTCAGTTTTGCAGATTCTATCAATTCCATTTTGATCTGGCCATCATGTTTTGGTCAAAGTACATATGCTTGCAGTTTATTTATTTATGCAATCATACTCCTTGTCTTACATTGAGATAGTGTGGTTCGAAGTGTTTCGAACAGAAAGATCACCTATCGGTTTCTTGTAAGACTAAACTATTCGTTCACAGTCTAGACAGGCAGTGAGACCCCTCTTAAACAAAGACTGTAATGTATTCTCCATTCAGTTGGTCTTTGACTGGAGAATTACACTAGCACTTATGATAGGTGTTGAACAAGACCACGAAAGGATAAGATTATGAGACTCACTGATCGATGTTGTAATCTAGACCTTTAGTAATTGATGCGTACTTATAAGCTGTAAGATAATATAAAACGGGCATATGTATTCATTACTTATTTATTTGATTTATCAAGGGTCATTCCTATTCTTTAGGATGGCATACTCGGTATTTTGGTAAGTAAGTGTGTTTATATGATGTGCCGTTATAAATTATTTACGGTCACTATGTCCCAGTGCGCTGGGTTGATGACGTCCCCAAAATTAGCTCAGGAATGAATATTATGTCAAGCCCTGCAGGTGGATGTGTTCCGGCATAATGATTAAGGATCTGAGTGGTACGAGTTTCGGAAATGAATAAGAAGTTGATTAATTAATTTTTCAGTAATTTAATTAATCAACGGACGTTGTATCTTAAACATGGGGAGATAAATCGTTAAATTAGATTAATATATTTAATCAGTGGAGGTTCGAATTTATTGAATAAATTGGAGCTAAATGGGGAGAGCAATAATATTACTCTAGTGAAATATATTATTACTTAATTCTATTTAAGAATTAGGAATTATATATTCCATAATTAAGATTCCATTAGGAGAGGATATTCTTTCTAGAATATTACCTATGGTTAGGAGACTATGGAGTCTTGTAGAAGGTAATAAAGGTTAGGAGGAATAGGACTTCTAGACGGGATATGATAGAGCATAATTAGGATTCCTAAGCCTAATGGGATAAGCCTATATTTAGCACCTCCTTAAGGTCCCTAATGTAGCCTATAAATACACCATGTCCCAACCTCTTCTCCTAAGTGCGAGAGATCTGATTTTAAGGTCCTATTAGGGAGAGGAAAATCGTGTTCTTCATATATTCGAGAGTTAGGGAGTTTCGATTAATCGCCCATTAAGATTATTCGAAGGAGGTGTGAAGATAATACATTAGAAGGCTTTAGGGTACAATATTTATCGAGCCTTTTATGTATATATATATTTTTTCCGGCGACCCCATGTAATTTCGGCGACCAGCCGTCGCCGGACAAGCCGGAGTTGGATCCCCACGCGCCCGCATGCGCCGCCCAGCACCACCCGCGCCCGCCAGTGAACGACCGCGCAAACAAGCGCACAGCCGCGCCCAGCCGTGTCCCAGACCGCACAGCTCGTGCAAAGCCACGCCGCAGCACCTAGAGTCCGCCAGCGCGCCTAGCAATGTTGCACGAGAGCCCAGACACGTCTGCCTGCTCGCGATCCACTCTCGCTGCCTGCCGCGCATATACCGTGTCCCGTCACACGAGATGTACGCGCGCGCCAGTCCTTGCCCGCCTAGGAGACGTAGCGCGCACGTCCGCTCGCGTCCCAATCCGCACAGGAGTATGAGTGCTGCCCGTGCATGCGCCCGCAGTGCCCGACCACCTCGCGCACCTCTGTGCCCGTGCGCGTACACCAGCGCACTGCAGCATGCGTCCACGGCCCAGTGTGCGCGGAGCCCGTGCCCAGCGACCAGACCCGACCCGAACAAGCCCAGTCCGGCCCAGACCCGACCAGACCGGTCCGACCCGGTTCAGCCTGACCCAGTAAGCCCGGTTCGTGCCCGAGATGGTTTCCGAGCAGCCCGAGAAGTCCAACTCACTTACCGAAGGTCCGTGACGCTCCGATGAGCTTGATGAACGATTGGAGCACCTTGATGACTCGATTAGAATCGATAAAGGCCAAGTCCAACTGCCCATTAGATTTTGGTGTTCAGACGATCTCCATCAACGAAAATCATAAACATCTCAGAGTCGGCAAAAATTTTTAAACCGTAAGTCCTAATCCTAACTATAGATTCCGTTGCGTTAGGATTTATTATTCAATAGATTTGAATGTGAACTTTGTCGACGTTCCTAATAGAACCCAACAAACATTACATGGGCTAGAATACGTGGCATGATGGCAATGGACAAGCCCAACTTGGGCCCTGAGGTACACTCCCCCTATAAAGGGGTGCTAAGGTATCTCGTTCTCTCATTCTCTCTACATTCACAATTACTCTCTTGGAATTTGGAGTTTTGGAGTGATATTGACTTGAATGTTGGAGGCCCGACGCCGGGACCCCTCCCGGCGTTGGGTTCTTGCAGGTACGGAGGCCGTCCGAGTTGAAGGAGCTCGGGTGGAATTCATTTTTACCAATAAATAGGGTATTAGAATATGGACTAGCAATATGATGAATCACCCTAGAGGGATTTTGAGAATGCGATGTCAAAGATATATACGAGTCACGTCAAAGATTTCCAAGTTATAATGATCGATTATGGTATGTTTTGAAGCATTTTTTGAGATGGACTTTCAACTATAATAGCATCTTCAATGCTACGATTTTGAAATATAATAATTTTTAACACACTTTAATTAATGATATTAATGTAAATCAACCTAGCAACAATGTTAAAATGTTAAAAATTTGAATCAAACTAGTACATCCAATGCATCATTTAATAAGAAGTTTTTTTATATATGTGGACCAATTAAATAATTCAGTGATATATACAAGAACAATAAGAAATTAAATCAGATGTAGAGTGAATTTCGATGAGTTATCATGTTTAAAATGATGATAGATATTAGAAAGAGAGCTAAATATTGTGAACATTAAATTTCATCCACATCACCATGAAAGAACCTATGACAAAATATATTAGAGAATTCATTAGCAACACACATTCAAAAGTTGATGATATGATTGATTTTTTATGATGTCTCATAAAGAAAACGATGTTTGGTGGATTTTCAAAAAAGTAACTCCGAAAAAAAAAATCAATTTCAAATAAGTTCGTGTTGGACGCTTCTTGAAAAATTACTTTTTAGGAGTCCTCCTTTAAATGAACTTCTCAATAAATGTTTCCGAACAAGCCTTTACTTTCGGGCGAAAAATTGGTTAGATTAATTTGTCTTTATTTCATGGGAGGACAACGTATTTGTTCAAATTGTTTTAGATATTTTTCTAAAAACCACGTCTTTTAGCTAGATGAGCCTAATAACTAAAACGACTCTTGAATTTTACTAATGGACAAGGCGTTTTAATGGTGCTACAACATGTATTCAAATTTTAACTTTATTGAAAATTGGATTTGTCAAAAAGTAAAGCTTTAAATTCTATGGTTAACAGACCGTGTCAAACTTTTGATGATTTATATATATATTATGAAAGATTACATATCATTTTGTTTTCGAACTTCAAATTTCATGAATATAAAAAAAAGGGTCAAAAGAAAACAACAAAATAAATTAACAGTGAGAGTAGATATATTTTAGACATGTCTATCTTTAACATCATAAACATGAATGCAAGACTTATTTGGTTACAATGTACATTATAAACACGTGTATTATTATTCAAAATTACAAGACAGGACAATCCATATATATATATATATATGTTGATTGTTATGAGGACATATGAAATGCAGAAGGAATATGGTGCCACAGAGATGTATATGCATAGTGATGATTGCATTGGTTGCAACTAACATTTATAATGTGTTTGGGCAGCAATCGCAGCCGCCATTTCGGATTCTTTTGGATACAGATGTCGATGTCGATGATTTACTGGCGATTTTGTACATTTT